CAATGGAGACCATGGGCATATTGGGGTATAGGATTATGTTAGAATTACTTGAGATGTGTTTGTTTTATACAGCAGGCTGCCTTTGGAGATGTTGCACAGCTCAGAGACCTTGGTTCCAGCCATGCCAGTGCATTAAACAGCACACAGGGGTGTCCCTGAGCACAGGACAGAGTTGTCCATATTGCTGAATCCTTAAAATGGTTTGATGGCATCAGTTTGAATGGGGCCATCCAGCTCTCCCCTATGTCTCTCCTGGGTATGTTTTACCGTGGGCCAGGAACTTGTTTTGCCACGTTGCCATGGTTTGGGGATCGTTCCAAGCAGACTATTGCCAGGATGTTTTGTAAGGCGAGAGGTTTTACTGGTGCAGGTGGAGACTGTTTCAGGGCACTTGGCCTCTGTCCCAGGCAGTTCCCTTGGGAGTGTTTGTTTATGGCTGCAGCTGTCAGTGCTGGAGCTGTGTTAAGGTGGTGCTGTGCCACAGCTGATCCGTGTGCCCAAGGAACCCAAGCAGCCAGTGATGCCGGAGTAGCTGCATTGCTTGTGTGAGCCAGAGCTGTAAAATAGCCGTGTTCTTACGCAGAGAAGCAGGCTTACAGTGTTTTTATGTACCATATTCAGCAATAGTGTGAGTTGCACTCGCAGCTTCTGGCTGGAACTCAGTGGAATGCTTCCCTCTCTTGGATATTTTGAAGCTCTGTATCAACAATCAGCAGTGGGAGGTGCACACATATCTCAGAGGATTGTTCAATATCTTTTGTGCTCCTGATGCTCTTACTACGTCTAATAATGGACAAGTCTGATCCTTCAGTGGTGGTAATGAGAGCTGAGGTCCCACCTTTATGACAGGCTTCCACATTCCTGTTTGAATGTCTCTTGACATCTTCACAGCTCCTCTTTGCTGGTGGGCTGACCATTGAGCACACATTCTTTGCAGACTGATGTGTCTTTTGACGGAACTATAAGCCTTCCTTTCCAGTACCTCACACTGTTTCAATACCCTGTTTGATAATTTTTCTTCTCATTATGTGCCTATAAAGGGAACAGTCCTCTATTTGTTCCCTTTCTGTCATGGATGTTTTTTTTCTTTTATCTATAATCTAACATCTATCAGAGGAAATAGCTTGCTGCAAGACCACGCAATAGGCCTGGAACCTCTGAGCCCCAGTGTGCTCCCAGGTGTCACCATTAAAGCACATGAGTGCTTTACTCTTGAGTTATCCTATTGAGAAAATCCTCTTCCAAGGGAAATGACAGAAGCCAATACTCAGGATGTTTCATTCCTGTTTAAAACAGGAATGAAAAGAACAGAAAGAAATACAGTTACTTGATGTCCAAGAGCCTGTATGTCCCAGGAGATGTTTATTTCAGTACTTGATTTTTCTAATGCATGATTTTGTCAAAGGGTATGTTGTGTGTGCCAGTCTAAAAAGCTTAAAAAACTTATCCTAGCTTCAGAATTTTGTGTCTTAAATAGCTGACTGTAAAGAAAATAAATTTAATTTATAAGCCGCTTGCCAATGCATGCCATGAATCTGAATGGTTTCTTCTAATATTTTGAGAGCAATAATGATTTTACTAGCACTGTTTTTTTTTTTGTTCTCAAGGACTAGACTCAAGACAAAGAAAGGAGCTGGAGGGAGAATGAAAGGTGATTCAGGTTGTCCCTGAGAGCATACAGGGAGACTCATATTCATCCCATTTGGTTTTAGACACATGGTCTAGGGTTCTACATTAGAAATGTGGCTTCTGTAGGCTTCTTGTCTAGACAACAGCTAGGGAGAGATACTTCAGACCTCTCTTTTTTATTGACAACCAAGGGAGCTTAGGGAGGGTACAGCCCTCATTTCATTTTCTGAGGTTGACATGAGCCTTTGAGCCTAATTACCCTTTTTATTAATTTGTGGATGTCAGTTATGCAACAAACATGAATTAAGTATTAGCTTGGACCACAATGGAACTACAAAAAAACTCCTGCAATACAATTCTAAAGCCTGTTAAAATGTGTCTGTGCAATTAGTCTCCCAGCACACTGTTGTCTCCTCCTTTCTCACCCCTTATCTTTCTCTTTTTCCTCTTGTTTCATTTGTCAGGTCCTGCCTGTACACAGACTGCTATTCCCTCAGTTCAGGATTCATTAATACTCCATGTCCTATAATGTGCCTGCAGCACTTTGGGATAATAAAATAACAGTGTGAAGTAATAGAATGCTGTTCCCACTTGCAGTAAGCAAAAGGCAAAATGTTGTCTTGCTTCCATCCGAAATACAAGCAGTGCAGATTCATTCTGAATTAGCTGCCAACTGCTGAACACAGATACATTGAAGGACAGCCCCAGGCTGTTTTCAAACAGAAGTGCAGACTAAATGAATCCTTGCCTGGGATGCTTGGAGGCAGCTGGATGTATATTGCTTGCCTCTAGGCTTATGGAGAATGACATGTTGCACAGTTTTCACACCCTTTCAAATCTACATGGTGCCAAGTGACACTGATGTGACTTGCTGCTGAAAATACTATGTGGTTTTATGGCCTGCATAGCAGTTATCCAGCCCCTGGCATCACTTCCCCTTGGTCCCTGCCTAGAGCCAGACCAGTGGTGTGTACATTGCCCAGCAGTAGGAACAAGAAGGTCTCCTTCTCTGCTCATGTTGATGTCCAGGTGTTAGAAGGATAAATTAGAATTTATCAGTCAGTAGAATTGCCTTGGTAAATTTTAGGGCTTGATGTGCTTCAGTGGTCTCAGATGTAGGGGGAGGTTAGCAAAGCTTGGGGGGAGGGATGTACTGCTGATAGTGGGCACAAGGAATGCAGAATTCATGGGGCACAAGGACATTTGGCAGAACTCACAAGATAAAGAAGAAACTAACAAAGCCAACTAATTTCAGAAATTGTGCTGAAGTCGGCTCTAGCTGGGTAGAAAGCAATTTTGTCAGGGGAGACTGTGACCATCAACTCCCAACCCACTGACTCAAGGGACAGGCTGATGATTGGCATGAGAAGTGAGAGAAACATGTAGCCATCAAAGGTAGAATACTGATCAGTAACAGAGCTGTATGGCTGGTAGCCAGTGGACCCTGTTTTCTTTGCATGCTAAAATGTGGTGTGGAGCTTTGATGATCAGGGAGCCAGCCTGTTGTAGGTCACACCAGCTCCTTGCTTTGCACAAACTAGACAGAATAAGTGGGAATACCTCGTCTTGGTGTGTAAATTGGTGCTGCACACAGGGCAGTGAGTGAGCTCACATTCAGGACAACAATGTGATTACTGCCTCTGCCCTTCCCAGCTACATGAGGGTCCTGGGGTTGAGGGGTAGCACTTGATTCATGGAGGAGGTGCTGTAGAGCAGCTCTGGATGGGGTGCCTGAGAGTGGCTGCTAATGACATAAACCTCCGGTGTCTGCCAGTGGGATAAAGATGTGTCCTTGCTCCTTGGCCTTATCAAAGTGGCTGGGGGTACAGGAGTAGCAAAGAAGAGTGAGGGAGAGCTGTGAGCCCCTACAAGCAGCTCCTTCCCCAGATCTTTCCCAAAAACTATGAAAACCTCATGGCACTCAATGGTATTGGTGAATCCCTTTTCATGAGTTTTGTGAAAAAATTCAGGTTGTGTCATCTTTCACTAGTCCAGCAGGATTGGCAAGAGTTGGGGGTAGTTCCTCAACATCTTCTCACCCAACCAGTAGTTTTGGCATCTGGTCTGCAGAGTACTGAGTGCAAAGCTGTGAAATATGGGGATGACTGTAATTGCTTTTTCCTTCTGCAGAGATATGTCCATATTAAAATCAAAAGCAGATACTCTAGATTTGTGGGATTGGTGTTCTTTATTGCCTTGGTTGCCTGATAGCCCAGAGTATGAGGGTTTCCTGAGAATATGCTTAGATGGTATCTACTTCCAAACACATCTCATGGGAGTCAAGGCTCATGTGGTTTCTTTAATTCAAAGCAATGTTGCAAATTTGCTGCAGCTATTACATAAAACAAGCATTTAGGTTTGAATCCAGGAGCTGTGTCAAGGCTCCCAAAACAAGCACTTTGCCTGTTCAGGACACTGCAGGGCACACGGGCCATAAGTTTGTGGTGGCAGAGTGCTCTGGTGCATGGGGTCTGTTTTGGGGATGCAGCAAGTGTGAGGGTAGAGGCTGTGTAGCTGTAAGCTCCAAATATAAACACTCAAAGGTGATAGATAGGGCATCAGCAGTGGAGTTTGGTTTTTTTTCCCCTTAAATTTTAAGTGATGGCATATTTGCTTTACCTTATTATTTCTGAATCTTCAGGATATGAATGGGCTATGTTTTACTCAGCTCAGAATGAAGTTTTCAGGAGTTTGGATTTATATGCAACTAAAAAATTAGTTGCACTGTTGCTTAAAATACTTAACTGCTCTGACTTTTCTCACAGATAATCCAGTGTGCACTGAACTAGAACCAATGGCTGTATAGTTTTACTGAGATGTCTTCAGGAAGAGAACAGTCTACTAAAGCAAAAATCTTTGTCGTCTAAATGTTTATATTTTGGCATTCTGTTTTTCTCCTTCTCTGACAGTTGTGACTGTAGAACCATAAAAATTCTGCTCATCAAACAGAGTTCTCTTAAAAAGAATGTCCAAAAACATGAGCTGCAAAGCAACATTTAGAGGACATAAAGTGAAGAAGGAGAGGGGCTGAGTCAAAGCCCAGTAGACTTCTATTCCTAACCTGTGTCTGATGCAGACTATTTCTTCCTTATGGAGAACCTTCTGAACTTTTATATTCACACCTAGAGTTAGGTAGCATGAATAACCCCTAGATAAAACCATAGTTAATTTACTCATTCTACTTACATATTTTCAAAATTCAGTTTTTCTGAAGCAGCATTCAAAACCTCTTCCAGTTATTCTCTTAGCACAAAAAGAGTTCTAGATGGACATCAAACTATTTCAGTAAGCACTGTGTGTTAGTTTTGGTAATGTTTTCATTATCTCTTTTAGATTTAATACATTCTAATTAAAATCTTTGTCTTGCAGGTCTGAGTACAGCCGTATGTCCTCTACCAGCAGTGAGTATAACTTCAAGATTCTTTTTTTAAATGGCTTATTATATTTTCTTTTGTTCTGCTAATATTTATTAACATCAGCCTGGTGTTAATGACAGAGTTTGCTTTGACACAGTAAAGCCTCCATTTCTTCTCTCCTTGGATCCATGTCTAGGAACAGTATAGAAAATTAAACTGTTTGAATGTTTTTGACCAAAATACAAACCATGTGTAAAGTCCTAAACATTGGCACTCACAGGGATGCAAGGCAAAATGAGAACAAAATCTATAGACACTGTGTGGGCCAGTGTGAATGGGCCCTCAGGCCAAAGGAGTTTGCAGTGGTGAATGTCATTAGAGCTGGGAATGCAGGAATAATTGAATGTTTATTGCAAGCTGATGCCAACAAAGCTCTTCAGAGCCACTCTAGTGAAGTTGGTTTCTTATTTCAGAGATGGTAGATGCTCTAGTAAGTGCCACAGACTTTCTAGACTTTCTAGACACAGTCTTTCTGTATTTACAATGCCAGTTGATTTTCAGGTTATCCAACTGATAAAAGACAAATTCCTGTGTCTGGATTATTTTTTCTTTAGTTTTCACCAGTGCAAAATGAGCAACAAGGAACACTTTCTACTTCCTTAGCTGTAGAACACACTGCATCTGCAGCATTTTGAAACGCAATAATGCTTATTCATGCATGACTGCTGCTATCTCTTCCTGTCCAAGTGCAAAGTGATGTCTGTCTTCCTGATTCACACACAGACTGTGAGCTTTATTTATGCCAAGCAAGCACATCAAAAATTCCTAGATGACAAGTTGTGTTTTATAATCTGGATCTTTAAGCACGATGAAAATCAGAGGGGAAGAAAGCTGTCAGTTTTTTTCTCATTCACACATTCTGGCTGAAGTGTGGAGAGGGTTATTTTCCATCTCCCGTGGTCTTCATGGAAGGGCTTTAATTGATTTCAACAAGAGCTGGATGAGACAGCATTCGTAATGTCTGACTCCTGAGCTGATGTGACTAGCAAGGAACTCACTGTCTTTCCTCCATCTGCTCAGTGTGTGTGTGTCTGAGAAAGAGAGAATTTAGTGCAGCTTTTTCCTAAATTCTGTTGTTTAAATAGATTTCTGGATTCTCACTGTCAGGCATAATTTTTGAAATGATTGGGAGGCAAAACCCAGGCAATCAGCTTCTCTGTGATAGCGAAAGCATATTGGATTTGCCTGGTTACACCAGATGTGTGGCACACCACCCTCTCAGCTCACAATTTCAGATGATGGCTTGGGGAATATGCTGCCAACTTCTTCCACTTTTTGGGTGGTGACTCATACTTACTTACTTAAAGGAGGCAGATTGGTCCAAAAGACAAGGTGCAAGTAGAGTATACCTCATTTAAAAATTCGGTTTGAACCCCTTAAAAACTTTGCATGACTGCTGCACATTTTACAAATAAAGGTAGCAAATTGCATTTGTATGCCTTGTTTTTTATAAAATGAGGTGTTTCCACGGGGAATGAATCTTTTGTTACGTGGCAGTTACAGTGTGTCACATTAGCTATGGTCTCCTCAGTGTCTTGCTGGCTGCTGCTGTCCAGTGTATTGTGGCAATTGCAGCTGTGTTTCAACACCAGTAATTTGTCAGTACAAGGAGGTATTATCATTCCAGCAAAGACACACAAGTTCAGGAGACAGAAAAGTCTCTTTCTCTTTTCTGCTTCCAAGGCAAATTATAGTGATACAGCTTCACAAGTAGCAGTATTTAACTTTGCCTTTTGAGGGGTTTGTGTGGTTGGTTTGGTCAGACACTGAAACAGTAACAGAAGCAGTTGCATGAAAGAATTTTGGTAAAATAGAAATACTTTCATGTCAGAGGCTGGTCATGGGTATGTAATGCATTTCAAAGATTGTTGGAGAAGAAAGATTAAAAAAAAAGGTGATTTGGACATTTTAATTTCTTTGGGGAAAAGATTCAATAAGTGGTACCATTCACAGTGCAGAAAGCAGTCTAATCAATGATGCTGTTAAGCCCTAGTGTAGCACAAAGTAAGCTGTTGTAAATTAGGAAGGAAAGAATCTCTGTTACCTGAAGCTGCTTCACCTGAAGCTCCTGTTCTAATGGAGTTTATCTAAATCAGAAGGATTGCAGGGGTCCTATTTGCTGGTACCAGTGGGGCTCCAATTTCAGTGTTTAACAAATGAATAATCTTTTCACTTTCTGGATAAACTCCACTGGAGAGTTTTCCACAGATATGCCAAGAAAAGGTTGAGAAAGACTTAGCAGGTGAATCAACTACAGTTTCTATCACAGCAGCTGAGCAAACAGCAGGACTTTGCAACAATGCAAAGTTGAACAGGAACTCCAGACCCCCTAAGTCAGAAAACCTCATCGGCTGCTAAATGCCAGTGGCAGGATCATTCTGTGTTTATTTCTAGTACTTTTTTCCCCTGAGCACATGGCAGCAGCTATTGTGCTCAGTGTACTGCTTCAGCAGTTCAAAGCCCTGCCTGGTGGATTGGCTGGACCTTGGGTTTTCGGCAGCCCCTCACTTCTTTTCTTCTTTGCCCTTATGTCCCAGCTTCAGACAACCAAAAATGCTTTTTACTGGCAGCATTCATCTAACATTGGTGGTTTTGTACAGCAGGTAATTTGGGGACAAGAAGCAAAGTTTGCAGAGTGTGTGTGTTTCGACAAGAAAAGGCAGCAGGTGCCTGCTGTGGGGGTCTGGCTGTTGTCAGGGTGACTGTGGACTTTACCTTGTCCTATTGAGTTGAGTAAAAATGTCATGCAAACCTGTCTGCAGGATGATGCATCTGGAGATACAACAGCTTTCAAAGGTTCAGCAGTGTGATTGCAGTGAAGAGAAATGCTTTTTTTTTTTTTTTTAATTTACCTGAATGCTGGTGTGAGTAGTTACTTTTTCCTTTGTTCTTTAGGAGGAAGAGTGCTTTGTCTTTTTGGGATGTTTTGCCTATTGGTGTGCTCTTCATTAATCTAGGAAATGTATTAACCTTCTTTCTCCTCATATTTTCAATTACCTTTTCAATTATGGTTTTCAATTACCATTTAAGCATCCCTAATCCTTTATGAGAGAGAATTGTGCTAGGCACTTTACACCCACAGAAGGGACCTTTACCTGAAATACATAATGGCAAAATACAAAGACCATAAGTGGTGTATGGATACAGACAATCAGTATCACAAAGAAATAATTAATTAGTGTTGGTTGGCACAATAAACAACAGTCTCCGTACATCATAATTTTAATTATCTTCAGATTGCTTTGAGCTATGTGTTTCATGGATGATTTTCAACTAGGGAGGAGGAGTTTTAATGGGGGCTGCTTATTGCCTCTTCTGTTTAATTTTTGTATTGATGATAATGGCTCTTCAGAATGACACAAACCAGAAATGGACATTTTTGAAACATGACTTTTGTAATTTGTAACATTCACAAAGGATGAGGGGAAATGTCCTCAAATTGCACCAGGGAAAGTTTGTATCAGATATTAAGAAAAATTTCTCCACTGAAAATGTGGCCAGGCATTGGAACAGGCTGCCCAGGGAAGCGAACAGGGCAGTGTTAGGTTAATGATTGGATTCAGTGATCTTAGAGGTATTTTTCTACCTTAAAGATTCTATGATTTGAAGTATTCCACACCTAGTCAGCCCTGGAGCCAATATAACTCGGTTGTCTTAGAAATAATTGTGGAAGAGAATGATATTTTTTTTTTGTTTTGCCTGGCAGTCAGGTAAGTACCTGAATACACATTTGTACTGGTCCAGCTAAGTTGGTAAGTGAAATATAAAAATGGTCCTATAGGATAAGATGCAAGTTTCTGGAAGAGTTTAGAGCATTTGAAATTTTAGAACCCTGTAGCATGCAGTAGTCCAGGTTGTGCTTCTCAGTGAGGTAAAGGACAAGCTTGTCACCCACCTGCTTTGCAGTTGAAAAAGTGGTAATTCACCTTCCCCTGCTCCCCTGCCTTTCCTTAGCATCTAGGAAACAACTGATTCCTTGTAGGTTGCTCCTATTCTTTTGTTCTAAACCTGAGAGCTGGGGCATTAAAATTTTTATTTCCTTGTTGCACGTACCCACGTTCCTAGCCCATGGAATTTCACCCACTTTCTGTTTCTAGAAATCAAACACAAGAAAGTTTGTTTTGGCAGATATAAAATATGTGGGTTACTGCACATGTTTCTTTTTAATAAATTCTCTTTAATAAATATATAATAAATATATAAAAATACATAATTAGTTAAATGTTAATTTATATTTAATATATATATATAAATAAATGTTTGATGTTCTTTTTCTATGCCAGTATAAATTCGGATTTTTCTTATGGAATTTGGTCAAGGTTTGGCCAACATTTTGTCAGTGTCATCTGCATCAGCTCCCCAGGCTTGTGACCCTGTGGGAAGCCCACAGTAGAGCAGGCTCCTGCCAGAACCTGCAGAGCCTTGAAGAGAGGAGCCCATGCTGGGAGCAGGTTTGCTGGCAGAGCTTGTGACCCTATCAGGGGCCCACGCTGGAGCCCATTCCTGAAAGCCTGCAGCCCACATAAGGAACCCACACTGGAGCAGTTTGTGAAGAACTGCATCCCGTGGGAAGGACTCATGTTGGAGAAGTTGATGGAGGACTCTCTCCCATGGGTGGGACCCCACCCTGGAGCAGGGGAAGAACTCCTCTCCCTTAGAAGGAAGCAGCAGCAGAAACGATGTGATGAACTGACTGTAACCCCCATTTCCCATCCCTGTGTGCCACTGCAGGGAAGGAGTTGGAGAATTAGGAGTAAACTTAATCCCAGGAAGGAGGGAGGGGTGGGGGCAGGTGTTTTTAAAATTTGTTTTATTTCTCATTATCCCGCTTTGATTCTGATTGGTAATAAATTCAACTCATTTCCCAAAATCAAGTCTGCTTTGCTCATGACAGTAATTGGCAACTGATCTCTCCCTGTCCTTAACTCATGACCCTTTCATTAAATTTTCTCTCTGCTGCCCAGCTGAGGAGGGGAGTGATATTG